TCTAACAGGAAAAGAGGTTATAAAATTCAAATTCTTCCTACCTTTCTTCCCTTGACCTGTAGCTCCCACCATGGAGGCAACCACATTACTAGTTTTTTGTGTTTCCATAAAAGGTATATTTGTGTATAAAATTTTTAAAGAAAACAAATATAATTCATACTCTACATATTGCTTTGTACCTTTTTTATTACTTAAATCTCTTGGTATAGTTACGTGTATTTAAATTGATTTCTTGAAAAAATGCTTACTTGGACACCTGGGTGGCTCAGTGGTTGTGCTCAGTTCGTGATCCTGGGGTCCTGGGATTGAGTCCCACATCAGGTTCCCTGCAGGGAGTCTCAGATAAATAAATAAATATAAAATCTTTAAGAAAAAAAATAGTTTAAAAAAAAAAAGAAAAAAAGCTTACTGAGTCCCTACTCTTGTTAGCCACCAGAATTGGGAAATTAGTGTTATATGCACTGGAGCTACAACAAATAGGACAGACACAGTCCTTGCCCTCATGGAGCTTATATTGAAATAGAAATAATTGCACATTATGATGAATGCTAATAAGAAAAGATACCAAATGGAGAATACCAATGGGCGATGGGGGTGGGGAAATTCCTTTTAATCCGGGAAGACTCCACAGAGGTGATATTTAATTATTTATTAATTAATTCATTCATTCATTCATTCATTTATGAGAGACAGAGAGACAGAGAGAGAGAGAGAGAGGCAGAGACATAGGCAGAGGGAGAAGCAGGCTCCCTGCAAGGAAACCGATGTGGGATGTCAGGATCAGGACCTGAGCCGAAGGCAGACACTCAACTGCTGAACCATCCAGGCATCTCAGAGGTGACATTTAAATTAAGACTTGAAGGGGGTGTCTGGTGGCTCAGTCAGTTAAGCATCAACTCTTGATTTCAGCTCAGGTCATGATCTCAGGGTTGTGAAATGGAGGCTCTGCACTGAGCCTGCTTAAGATTCTTTCTCTCTCTCCCTCCCCTAAATAAATAAATAAACAAACAAACAAATGAATGAATAAATAAATCCATCCATCCCTCCTCCCTCTCCCCCTCTAAATAAAAGAAAGAAAAAGAAAGATAAACCTCCTTTCCCCCTTCAAAAAAAAAAAAAAGAGAGGAAGAGAAACTGAGACTTGAAGTTCAGAGCCAGCTTTGGGAGCAGCAGACAGAACAGCATCCCAGGTAGAGGGAACTGCAAATGGAAAGACCTAGAGGTAGGGAGAAGTTTGGCTTATTTGAGGAACTTAAGGCAGAATAACAGAGCTGAAGCATGGGAATAGGGCAAAGAGATGGCAGCAGGCACTGTCTGAATGCACTGGAAAGCTGGTGAGGGGCTTTACGAAGAGTGGGGCAAAGTGTGGTTTGTATGGAGGTTCCATCAGGGATGAATGGTTTAGGGACCAGCTCAGAGGCCAGTGAAGCACTTCAGGCACAAGATGATGGTGGCCTGGGCTGGTGCTGCTGGCCATTGGATATGAAGCAAAGGGGCAGTTGATTCTAAGTATCTACTGGAAGAAGAAAGTGCCTCGATGATGGGTGGGCTTTGAGTGGGGTGAAAGGAAGGGAGAATCAAGGGTGGAACAAGCGGCACAGTTTAGGATTGGTATCAGAGAAGTTTTTAACTTGAACGTCTTGGTCTGCGAGGCCTCTGGAGCATCCAAACAAAGAACTGAATGTTGCTTTCTGAAGCTCAGAGGGGAGGCCTCAGATAGAACTGTAAAGTTGGGGGTTATCTCCCTGCAACTTTAAATATCTGGAAGTAGATTTCAGCATGGAAAAGAATGTTAAAATTACCAACTCAGGTTGCCCCATTTTAAAACCTAGCTTTTGTTAAAGGCTTTACATTCAACTTACAAATCTTGTTATTCCATTATAAATCTAGTGATTTTTCATATAAAGATAAGAACAATCACTTTCACTTGTTCTTTGATTACTGTTGAATTATTTCTTAGGTTTAGTAGATTCAATCCTCCTTAAACATTTAACATACTCACAGCTTTAATTAATCAATTTCCTTAGACATTTCAGACTACAATTACAAATTTAATATGCCTGATTTTTCTCACTTTAAATGCCCAACAGGGCAGACTCACAAATCTAAAAAGCAAGATCTTTCTAAGCACTCAAGCAACTATTGTAAATTAATTACCTAAAGTTATAAACGTAGCAAAGCAGATTCTCTTGGCCATTTCAAGAATCTCAAATCCTACACAAAGCAGAGCAAGGATTACAAAAGCTTCTTTCTGTATTCATTTTCTCCATTATCTGAATATTTACATTTCCTTTTTGGAGTTACAGATTTACTCCCTCAGCAAAGGAATCAGCATTTCTTTCCAAGTATTGCTATTTGGAACCCAACTACATAATAACATAGAGGAGACCTTATGATAAACTATTCCTGGAAGAAATACTACAGGATTGTATATAAGGAGTAGTTAAAAAGCATATGCCCTCCTCCTGCAAAAAATTACACAGAGGCTGCGGTTATCAGCCTGGGTCCAATTAGGAGAGAGATACCAGGGGATCCCTGGGGGGGCTCAGCGGTTTAGCGCCTGCCTTTGGCTCAGGGCATGATCCTAGAGTCCCAGGATCGGTCCGCATCAGGCTCCCTACATGGAGCCTGAGCCTGCTTCTCCCTCTGCTTGTGTTTCTGCCTCTCTCTGTGTCTTTCATGAATAAAGTCTTAAAAAAAAAAAAAGGGAGAGAGATACCACACAGCAGTTTGAATGGAGGAAAATGAATATAAAGAGTTGTTAATTATAACAGGGGACTATAGTAAAAGACAGTAAAGAGAACTCTAAAGAATACAGGAATAGCAAATAAGGGGCAGCCAGTACCCCTAGGACTGAGATAGAGCACCCAAGGAAAAGGCACTCGTCCTCCTCCCCTGTTCAAGGGGTAATGCCAAGGGAACCTGGCACTCAGGAAGTTATGTGTACTGTAGTAGCCTGGCCCTGGATGCAAGTGGTGTTTTGAAAAAAATATCTAAGGTCAAAATATATGTGGGAAATGTAGAGCTCTCATCCATACCAGTCAACTTTGGAACCGACATCACACACTGATCTGTACAACTATCCAACTGTTTTCTGCATATGTATTGGGGCTCCCCTACTAGAAGATATTCTATTCTAAGGCAACGATTATGTTTTATCCTTCTCCTGTGGCCAACCCTGGAGTCTATGTAATATGCTCAATAATTTACTTTTGAATGTATGAACTCTGAGTGAGGACTTCTATTAAACCGTGCCTTTTCCCCAATAATTTTCATTCTATTCTTTCCTCCTATAAAAGCAACAAACGCTTACTGGAGAAAAGCAAAGATAGACCAGAAGGAGAAAACTATCAACCATATTTCCACTACCCATAAATAATCACCATTAGAACTTTGGTGTATGTTTTAAGCACAAACCGTCGCTTTTCTTTTTTCTTTGTTCTTTAACTTAGATGTACACCCATCATATCCCATATGCAATGTTATAGCCTGCATTTTCAACTTAACATGAATAGAGTACCTCTCCAATTCATTATCAATTCTTTGTTGAAGAGTCAGTGATGAACCATTACATATAGAAAAAATTTACATTGATGTTGAAACTAAACGCTGAAAACATCACAAAATACCTAATTCTGAAGATGCTAGTTCACTTAACCACTTCTCTTGTGGAACTTGAGGTTCTTTTTTCTATTTTCTTGTTATAAATAATCCTACAATGAACATCACTGTTTAATTTTTTTTTTTCTTTTCCCTCTCCGGTAGGCCAATTTCCTGAAATGGCTGTCCTGCGTGTGCAATTACTAGGCTAGAGGGTACAAATACGATTAAGGTCACAGAAGAAAATTTCAGATCACAGGGTGTCTGCTTCCAAACATGGAAACCCGTAGCTTTCCCTTTTTCATCAAGATACAAACCAGAAGCCTCTAGAATGCCAAGCCTAACCGCCCCCCCCCACGCCCCCGCCCCATCCCGCCCCGGTCAGTGCTAACCCGTCCCCAGGCGCGGCCCGACTGCGGGACCTGGGCTCGTCCCTGTGGGCCAGAGGCCCCGGTGTGCCCGCAAGCTGCCGGCGGCGGCCGCCCGGGGGTGCTAGCCTCGATTTCCCCGAGGCCCTGCAGGGTGTGTGCGACGCCCTGGCGCCCAGCCCCGAGCTCGGGGAGTCGGCAGGGCACGGTCACCTCGCGGACACAGCGGGAGGCCGAGAGCAACAGAAGCCCCAGCTGAGAGCTCCGGGGAGGGCTCGGGGCACTGCGAGCACTTCCCCCCGGCGGACGCTGGCCCTCATCCTCCCTCCGCCCCGACCTCTTCCTCGGGTCCCCGGCGGTGCCTCGAGTCCACCCCGCAGACCTCCCCCCGCCTCCGACTCTTCCCGGCCGAGGGGGGCACCCCAGCGCCCCGGGGGCCGCCTTCCTCCCTCCCGCTCCCCGCGCCGGCCCGGGTCTCCGCCCCCTCAGCATCCGACTGCCTCGCAACACCCAACTCCCGCCATCGACCCCATCATCTCCTCCGCAAGCCCTTCCCCGCGTCTGCGCCCGGCTGCCCGTCGCTCAGCCCCTGCCGCCAGGTCCCCCCACCTGGGGCCGCGGCCCCCGCGTCCACCCGGCCGGTCCTTCCCAGGACAGAACCTCCAGGCGCGCTGGGCGCCCCCGGGTGCCCCTCAGACGCCCCTCGGCACCCCCGCCCGCGTCAGTACTGTACGCCGCCGGGCGCGCTCCTCTGTTCTGGGGTCTGGCCCTCCGTCCAGTCAGGCCCCTGCTCCCCATCCCTCCCCCGTCCCCCGCCCGCACCCGGGCAACTCTTCCCTCTCGCACTTTCTCTACTTTGAACCCATCCCAGCAGAGTCCAGGAAGTAGCCAGGCGCCGGGGACTGGCGGCGGAGGCGCCCAATGGAGCGCGCCAGCGGCGGCGGCGGCCCCGCCCAGAGGGTGAGCACGGCCAATGGGCGCGCGGGGGCGGGACTTCCGCTGTCCCGCGGAGGGCGGGGGAGCGAACTGTTGTGGTGCGGCGCGTCGGGCGGGCGGCGGCTGGGCGGCCCAGGGGCTGCCGCGGGACTCGGGGCGCAGCCGAGCGGCTGCAGGGGTGGGGCGAGCCGGACGCGCCCCGGGGCCCGGGCGCCGCGGGTTCGAGGCCGGGCCCGGCGCGGGGAGGCCGCGCCGCCCCGGGGGAGCTGCCCGGCGGTGAGTTTGCCCCGCAGCCGAAAGAAGGCGGGAGCCGGCGGGGGCCCTCGGAACCCCCTGGCAAGCCGGGCCCGGAGTCCCCGGGGAGCGGCTGCTTCCTGGGGCGCCTTCCCGGACGCCCCCGCCCAACGGCAGCGGTTCCGGGCCCCCGGCGGCAGGCGCGTCCGGGTGACCCCCGGCGGGGCCCTGCGAGCCGCGGGAGCCGACCCCGGGGCCTCGAGCGGGGAGGAAGGGGCTTCCCCGAGGCGCGGGGCCGGCGGCCGGAGGAGCGCGAGCGCGGCGGAGCGGGGCCGGGCCTCCCCGGCGCGGGGCAGGGCAGCGCCGGGTCTGCGGACGGACTCCGGGACCCTCGGGCGCGGGGGCCTGGCCGACCTGCCCCGCGGGGCGCGCGGCCGCGGAGTGGCCTGCCGGGGGTCCCCCCGCAGAGGGGCCGGCCCGGGGCGGGGAGATGAACGGCTTCAGCACGGAGGAGGACAGCCGCGAAGGGCCCCCCGCCGCCCCCGCCGCCGCCCCGGGCTACGGCCAGAGCTGCTGCCTCATCGAGGACGGCGAGCGCTGCGTCCGGCCCGCGGGCAACGCCTCCTTCAGCAAGAGGGTCCAGAAGAGCATCTCGCAGAAGAAACTCAAGCTGGACATCGACAAGAGCGTGAGTCCGCCCCCGCCCCCGCCCCCGCCCCGTCCCCGCCGGGTGCCCGCCGGGTCCCCGCGCGCCGCCCCCCTCGGCCGCCGTCCCCGGCTGCGGCCCGGACCCCCGGGGCCCTCCCCGCCCTGGGCCTCGCCGCCCTTGATCTGCAAACTGGGGAGTTGCACTCGGGATTTCAAAGGCCGCTTCGGCTCGGGCAGGCTCGGACTGGGATCCTGCCCAAATCCGGGAGGCTGGGGGCGGGGGGCGGGGGGGGGCGGTGTTCCGAGGACCTTTCCTGCCTGGGAAGATCTGACTACAGTTGAGGGCTTGCGGTATTGGTTTTGATACTGGGGCAGGGAGACATGGGTTGATCCTGTTGGCCCACGAAGCTGCAAGTATTGGGGAGAAGGCGATGAAGGGACCCGGCTCTTCAACTTCTGTCTCCTCGGAACCCTGTGATCGCTTCAGAAAAGGAAAGGTGGCAGTTACTTCCCCCCACCCCACCCCACCCCACCGCCTCAAGCCACCGCCTCGGCTTCTGCAGAGGGTCACCGAGCTCGCTGCTTGCTGCTTCGCATGCAGCTGTGGGGAAATGGGATTTTCAAGGATGTGGCGGAAATAAGGCCAAGGCCAGGTCTTGGGAGGTGGCTGTCTGCAGTCCGAGTGACCAGGAGGAAGAAAATCCATTTTCTTACGGGTAGCTTCTTTAGAAAGGCAGTTGGAGAAGGGGCGTTAAATTTGAATAGAATCGCCCTGTGTTTTGTGCCTAATTATAGGAAAACTTTTCCTGTGTGATTTCACCACTCCTAGTTAACAATTCTAAAGATGTGCCTATTGTCAACCAATTAAGAACTTTTTAGTTTGACATCTGTTGCTGCAAGCCTTAAGTGGCTGCCTCCTGATTAGGAATTGGAAATGAGTTAAGGGTGCCTTTAATATTCAGGTAGACCAGCTAAGAGCTCAGGTGGTTAATATCCAGTCTCCTTTAGGACCAAAATTCCACTGTTGGGGAAAATTAGAGATTGCTTGTTAAACTGAAAGGACACACACTTTTCTGCTTCGGATCTTAGAGTGGACACTGAGGCCTAGAGATAAGAAGTGACCATGCCAAAGTCACACAGTGACTAAGAGGCTCGTTAATTTCTTAAACCCATTATCTGACTTTCCTCTGAACACTATGCATAAGCTTTGATTAAGTCTAAATAAATAAAAAATCTTACTGCCTCTTCTTTCAGGCTCTTCCCTCCCATTCCCCTCCTCCCCCGCCTTTCTTTTAAGTTAACAATCACAATATATTTGCCACTCTTGAAAGATGCTGTTTTTTTTTAAAAGGCGGGGGGGGGGTGTCAGTTAATGGCTTTCTTACTACAAATCTGTACCAATGAGTGAATGAAAGGAATTCAGAGAGCAAACAACTGGCTAGACACTAAGGAGGTCCAGATTAGGACATGTGTTGAAGTGAAATGCCTAATTCTAAGACAGCAGTGAATTTATCCTCTTGGAAACACTGCCTACCTTTTGTGTAGGTGGTTGGGAGCCTTTACTTGAACAGCTTATAATATTTTCCAGTCCTTAAAAAAAAAGAAAAAAAGAAAAAGAAATTTCCAGTTCTTTTAAATTCTTGGATGCCATGACATCTGAACAACTGTGCTGCCACTCGGGGTCCATTACCCAGTGACCCCACTGGAAAACCTGTGTTGAGCTATGTTGGTGGTTTCACACACAATATCTAGGAGAGAGGCAGCATGAATGTGGCACTAGAGTTCCCCAAAAGTAATGTTTCTGGAGGAGTAGTGTTTCTTTTTTTTTTTTAATTTTTTTTAAATTTATTTATTTATGATAGTCACAGAGAGAGAGAGGGAGAGAGGCAGAGACACAGGCAGAGGGAGAAGCAGGCTCCATGCACCGGGAGCTCGATGTGGGATTCGATCCCGGGTCTCCAGGATCGCGCCCTGGGCCAAAGGCAGGCGCCAAACCGCTGCACCACCCAGGGATCCCTGGAGGAGTAGTGTTTCAAGGTGGAATCACTCACAATTTGTTTCAAGGTGGTGGTATAGAATCATTATTTCTGAAGGGGGATTCTACTTCATTCTCACAGGCTTGGGCAGGAATTCAATTCTAAGTAACTGCCGTGTGACAAGAATTTTAGCTGTTGCAGAAAGTGAAACAGAAAAGAAAAACACTGGGGCTTTTGCCACCACCCTCGTTCCCCCACCCCTAGCCCCCAAAGGCCACTGAGCTCTGAAATTTCTGAAAATCAGTACGTACTTGAAAATCGTTAAGGAGAAATAATGACTATTTATCTTGTAAAAGGGCCTAGCAGAAAACCTTTTAAAATAATAGCACCAAAAATCCAACTCAGGCAAACTCATTTCATGTAGACATTGGCAGTGCTCTATGAGTTATTAATATATAACATGCTTTCAAGCATTTCTCCAATTGACATATTTCTGCTTTATTCTGGAGAAAAATGGAAGTTGAGAATAGTATAAAGAAAATGTTGTGGTAGGAAAGGACATGCACAAGGGGTCAGAAGGCGTGGGTGACCTTGGCCAAGCTCACAACCCCATCTGTGTGGCTTCTGTTTATCTCTGTAGAAAATGAGATTGGGGCCAGTGGGGTTACACTGGTGATTCTAAGTTCTCTTCCATCCAGAATTCCATTATTCTAGTGTCCTGACCTAAAACCTCCTGGCCACAGCTTCAGGAAGTCCCCTCCCCTGTCTGTTCTACCAAGCGTGCCACTGTGAATTTGAGGAGCTGCTTAATCTCCAGGCTTACGTGTGGAACTGGCTAACATGAGGGCCAGCTTCCCATCAGGAACAGAGAGTATGGTGTGTGTGTGTGCTTTCTTCCCTGCCAAAAGCATGTCCGGTGGTCTATACTTCAACTAGGTGGGATTCATTGGGACGGTGACACAAGCTGTGTCTGAAAGTCCCGTGGCAGAGTTGACACTGGCAAATCTACTTGACTCTGTAGCCATACGTAAGGGCGGCTTTTGCTGGCCTAAGCTGCTTTTGGACGGCAGGGGCTGCCTGTCCTGGTGCAAGTGCACTTAGAGAATACCTGCTGTCTGCAAGATACGGTCACAGTAGCAGCTTAAAAGTGCTCAGGACTCACCAATCCAACCACATGAAAGTGGTGATTCATCTGACTAAAAAGCAAGTTTCATTATTTTCTCCATGAGAAGGCCTGAATTAATTGATGCTGGCTTCCTATCAGCTTATTTTTGTCTGTGTAAATTTATAAGGAATAAATTCAAATTCAGAAGTCTCTCTAGAACATTTGTGTAGCATCTGTTCCAGTGTCAACAACCCCAAGTCATTTACACAGGCGCTTCGTTTTGGTTAGGGTTCTGAGTGGCTCCTCCAGCCACCCCTAGTACTTACATTCTTAAATAAAAACATGTTCACCTCTCAGCTGCTGTTGCTGCCTTCACTTACTGTTATGCCTCTAGCCTGCATTAGAAAATCAGCAGTAGCATCCAACTTCTTTCATGTGGCTTCTGGGAGAATAAGAGTTTCTGCCTCCCTTTCCACTTCTCTTTGTGGGCCAGATGTGTGGTGATGCAAGAAGTATAATTCTGATACACAGAAATGAAGTTGTTTAGAGAGATGTCATCCTACAGTAGTAGCTGTGGTCAGTGGAAAAATCTGAAGTCCTGTCTATCATTACCACAGTCCCTTCTTTCCTCCTTCCTGGGACAGTGCCTTCCAGCCCATTGTAAAATTCATAACTCCTACAGGTCACATCACTCCTTGCTTCAAAGGCCTTGAGGGACTCGGTTTTGTCTGAAAGAAAATCTGCGCTGTTCTCGTGCCCCGAAGCCCCAAATCTCTTAGTGCTCATATATGGGCAGTTAGCTCCACCTCACCGACACCGTCTACCCTGGGCTGCCTCCATCATGCCTTCTTGTCATCTCTATTTGAAACTAAGTCTTGGTCCTCTTCCCATCTGGAATGCTTCCTATCTACCTATAAATCCTCCTTTTCAGTCAGGAACCTCTACACTGACTATCCCAGCCATCTCTCCCTTGGCTGAGCCCCTACCCCTTGTTGTCCCTAGCCTTTAAGGGGGTACTTAGATTATAAGCTCCTCCTGCCCAGTCTGTGATGATAGTGTTTGTATCCCTTTGTGGGCTTCTTGGTCTACAACTCAACAGGAAACTTCTGGAAATCAGGGCCTACATGTTGTTCTTCCTTCTGTTTCTTCAATGCCTTGCAAAGGAGAGAAGCCCCGAAGTTCAAATGTTACCTGTTCCCATAGAATTGGCAAGCCTCACTCTAATTTGCTTCCCATCAGGTAAGGCACCTGTATATCTGCGACTTCCACAAAAATTTCATCCAGAGTGTACGAAATAAAAGGAAGAGGAAGACAAGTGACGATGGTGGAGATTCTCCTGAGCACGACACTGACATTCCTGAGGTAAATGTCAAAAAAGTTCCCTGGCAAAAGCTGGAAGAGTGGATCCTAATGTGATTGTTACCTCTGACCTGGTCCACTTTTTGTATTAAGAAGTAATTTTGAGTCCTCTTTGTTTTGCTGTGGTTTATCTGAAAAGTGAATCATAGAATCATGGTAACATCGAATCTGAGAGCTGAAAACTTAGAAATCAACTGGCCTCACTGCCCCATTGTTTTACAGACAGGCACAAAGGCCCAAGGTCACACAAACAGTTCCGGGCCTATGATCCAGTGCCCTTCCCACTAGGCCAGACTGCCTTTCTGCAGGAAGCCCCTGATGCATTCTTAACTATAACCACAATGTCAAGTTGCTTAAAACTTTTCTTTTTTCCGTTTCGAGTTGGAGACTAATTGGGGTTGGGGGAAGTTAGTTACCCTCTGTTTTCTGGTCTGCAAATGAAGGTGTACATTGTCAGTTCACACCAGCTCTTCTCCCTGATCCAGACTTGTTCCCAAGGAGCCATTCCAAAGTCAGTTATAAGGGCCCAGGGTTTCTCAACCCTGGCACTGTTGATATTTGGGGCCAGGGAAGTCTTTGTTGTGGGGACTGTCCTGTGAATTGTTGGATGTAAGCAGCATCCCTGGATTCTACCCTTTAGATTCCAGTCACCACAGTAGTGACAATAAAAAAAAAATGCCCCCAGACATTAGCAGATGTTCTTGGGGTACGGGAGCAAAACCACCCCTTGCTGAGAACCGTTGCACTGGACGATGAGACCTAGGCTTCACAAACCTTCAAGGGGCTAGTACCTATTGAGCAAGGCTACGGGAAAGAGTATTGCATTTTTTTGAAGTTTTCACTTAAGACTCAGCAGAAGAAAACCTGTTTGTAATGTACATTGAATATTTGACACATGAATATTTCATAAGGCAACCGCCTGTTAGCACTCAGAGTGGAAACGACTGCGTAGGAATAGAAAGAGTAGGCGGGCCTTTGTCTGCAGATGTGGAGAAACCCTTTGAAAATATGGTCCTTTCCCTCTGCCCCTCCCTGTGTCCCTTTTCCCAGTATTGGTTTACAGTATTTTTCTATTGCCTTCAGCATTAGTATTATTATTTCATAAAGAAATGGATGTATTCAATTTCAGTGTTTTTTACCAAAAAAAGGGCGGGGGGAGGGTTTGAGGAATGTTTTGAAAAGAATGAAGGACTTTGGTCCCTCATATTGATCATTCATTTTGTTTTTAAGTGCTCTCCACCTGCCTGAAGCAAGAACATCTCTTTTAGAGGCAGGTAAAAGCAGCCCAACTTTCTGGGCCTTCAATACTTCGTGACTGTGCAGCTTTCCTCTCTTCCTGTGTTAGAAAACAAGGGGGGGTCCTTTCCCTCTGTTATCTGGTCATCTGCAGAAACCCTGACCTAACCTGCTGATTGGTTCACTTGCTACAGTAGCTTTTGAGTTTTCTCCGGAGAGTTGTTCAGGTTTCCAATACCTGAAGGCCGAGCATAGGGAAGAACTCTGAGAACATCAGTACTTCCCTCTGCCCTTCATCCCACCCCTCCTCCGTCTATCCACTACTAAGCTCTGGCCCATCTTCCTCCAGGCCACCTGTCTGGGGTAACCTTTGCTCCCCATGCTTGGTGTCCCTGGCTAGTATCACCAGCCTCTGAAGCTCAACTCATTTCTGATCAGTGCTACAGCATCGTCGCCTCCACCCTCACCCCCCAACAGCCTCCCCTCTAAACCGCCACTTGATCCACTTTCCTGGAACATCACCCCCTACCACCTGTGGTCGCTCCTTCCACTTTTCAAGACCTGTTACCCTCCAGTCTCACCGTTTAAACCCATCGCGATTGCCTATGACCTCTGAGTCTGTCTCTTCATCTCCTGGCTTTCTGTCTCATGGTCTTCTCTCTCATCCCCTAGTCTGGCCCTATTCTCTCTGTCTCTCTAAACCCTGCTCTCCTGCTCTCCTTAGCTTAAGCTTCACCACCTCCAGGAGCCTCCCGGAACCACCCCTCCCCAGCCAGAATTCTTTTTCCACTGTTTTTTGTTTTTGTTTTTTGTCCTCCCAGCCAGTTCTCAGTCCTCAGTGGATCATTTCTAAGACATCTCTGTAGTCTTCTTCAACCCCTATCCCTCCTAGTATAGTGCTGGGCACATAGTGCGCTCTGGGTGAGTCGTGACTAGTCAGGTGATAGATAATGCATTTCTCTTCTTCTCTCTAGGTTGATCTGTTCCAGCTGCAGGTGAACACTCTACGACGTTATAAACGACACTACAAATTGCAGACCAGACCAGGCTTCAATAAGGCCCAGTTAGCAGAAGTAGGTAGACAAATTGCACTGTAAAAAGCAATAGCCAGCATTATGCTTCTGATGGTGACCTTAGTTTTCCCTACTGTGACGTGTGTCTCTAATGCCCTCTGTAGCTCAGAAGCAACTTCCTGTTCCCTCTCTTATATAGTGTAGAGTCCCACAGCTTTAGACCTGGAAAGGCCCTATTTCTGTAAAAGAAACCATGGCACCTAGAGAAGAAAGGACTTGCTTAAAATCACACAGCAAATTAGTAGCAGAATTGAGCCTGGAATCTCTGGATGCCTGATTCTAAGTCCTGAGTGTGCTTTTGTTTGCGCATGTGTTTGAATCTTGTTTTGTAAGTCTATATAGATATGGTCCTTCCTGCACATTGGGTGTGTCAGATTAATTACCCCAAAACCTTTGCTCATATTCTGTGGGAGCTACTCTTTTTCTTTAGTTTTCCCTTTGATTATTTCTTCTCTGATACTGGCAGTGGCAGTAAGTATTATAATGAATAGAACCCAAGAAATTTTTCTCCTACCTGAGCTCTTAATACAATTTGGAGGAGGGAGAAATACTCTATTGGCCCTTGTTTGAATATACTGACAGCCTAGCTTGATACTTCTGTCCTGTTGGCATTTGTGCAGGCTCCGTCTTATCCCTCTTCTTAATGTGCTTTTCTGCCTGTTGTAGAAAATCTGGAAAATGGAAAAAAGAAAAATACAATGCTACCATCCAGAGGTAACCACTCTAGAGTGCTAGTTCTCTCTCATTATCTGTCCCAGCCCCCACAGCACATTCAGAAATTTCCTGAAAGGTTGACAGCCCCATCGGTTTTCTTTTTTTTTTTAGGAGTTTCTTGCTGATCCATCATTTTTCTTAAACTTCCTTCATCAGCATCTAGATAAAACATAGATAGGGGTGCACAGCTCTTTCCTGCTTTAATGTAACATTACCCACTTGCCAGCATTCACCCTGATGAAAGGGACCGGATGAGGTAGGGCAAGAAGAGACCTGCATTCTCAGGACTTGTAAAATAAAGCCAAGCGTCAGGAGTATATAGTAAATGATGACTTATTCTTCAAATGTGATGTCTTTTTTTTTTTAAGATTTTATTTATTTATTCATGAGAGACACAGAGGGAGACAGAGAGAGGCAGACACACAGGCAGAGGGAGAAGCAGACCCCATGCAGGGAGCCTGACATGGGACTCGATCCCGGGTCCCCAGGATCACGCCCTAGGCTGAAGGCAGCGCTAAACTGCTGAGCCACCCAGGCTGCCCTGTGATGTGTCTTTCAAGAGGCAGTATGTACTATTTTAGATGAACTCTTGGGCCAAACACTTTTATCTGTCCAATTGGCCATTCATTTGACACAATTTTAAAAAGACCTTTTTCTGCCCAGTTCCAGGGCCCGCGAGCTGGTGATGGTAGCCACTGGCCAAGCAGAGAGCAGTCCCTACCTGTCCTCCATGGGGATGACCTTGAGATTATGCCGTGATAGACAGTTGGCAGCCACTGAAATAGAACTGCATCTTGGGAATGTTGTGGGCTCAAGTGCTGCTTTTGGAGGCCTGGAAATCAAATCACCGAACCCCTTGGGAAAGAAGGGCATTTTGAGTTCCGCAGCACTGCAGGAAGTTCTGCAGTGATCATAATTCCCCTCTCTAGCTCTGGAAGCAAATTGCACTCCCTCCTTTGCATAGTTCAGAATTTGTGGCCCTGACTTAGGCATGCTTTAACTGACTTTGGTTTTTTTCCCCCCACATAGACTGTCAGCCGACACTTCAGGAACATACCTGTGAATGAAAAAGAGACGCTTGCCTACTTCATCTACATGGTGAAGAGTAACAAGAGTAGACTGGACCAGAAATCGGAGGGTGGCAAACAGCTTGAGTGACGATGAAGCACATCAAGGAATGAAGTGTAATGCTGAACACACAGGTGACATCTGCTACGTTTAAGCCCATAAAGACTGTTAAATTTTATTGTAAATAAAAAAGTTTGAATGATGAATACTGTAAATCTTTTTGGTCAGGAGAATTATATTCTCATGATGCAGCATGTGTATACAAAGACTTTCCTTTAAGGCAACTACCGGACTGAAAAAAGATCGCTAAGAGATTTAAAAACTATGTATTGCAGCATTCAACAAAGCATTAAGTCAATTCTACTGGAAATGTGGGATAGAAAATATTTTGATACTCACCTTGTAAAACCACTCTGCCTTGTGTGAGATGTAGCCCTGGAATAGCAGTGGGGTGCAGCTAACTGCAGGAGCCTGAGTAGACACAAGTCTGCTAGGAACAGACAAGCCCTGCTTTGTTGTGAACTTTGTCGTTGATCAGCAAATGAGTTTGACAGCAGTCCCCCTCACTGGCCCTGTGCCTGGCACACAGTAGGCACACACTCAGTATTTGTTGGCTAATTGCACTGGCCCTGTACCATCTGCTTCACACCTCTAGTTAATGAGCCCTCTGCCATATCTGTTGCTCACCACTTAATTTCTAGAGTGTGGAGGAAACCCTGATGCATCAACAGGTTTCTCATCAGAAGAGGATTTGAGGGCAGTTGCATATACCAAGCTATGTTCGTAAAGGTTCCAGAAACACTGGTACAGGGACCCTCACAGAAGACGCAGCCCTTTGCACATCACTCTGGGCTTTACTTTGGTGGGGAGAGTTAGGAATTGTGACTTTAGTCACCCTCCCAGGCCATAAATGCTTTGACAAATGGAGATACTTAGTTATTTGGGACTCATGTTTTCAGAAATACTAATCCTTAGTTCACAACCACCAAGAAAGCTGCCAAGGATCATGTGATTCCTGCTCAGAAGTCCAGTTCTGGGATAAAAAGTCTGACTGGCCTTGACTCCCTGGGCTTGGGGTCAACAGCAAGTCATGGGTTTGAGTAACAATGGTCAGTGCTATCTGATATTCATTTTTGTGATCAATTTGCCTCCCTTTTAAAAAAGGGGGAAAGATTGCTGAAGCAAATTTTTAAAAATATGAATAATTACCTGATTTTTTTTTAATGTTCAGAAACTCAGATTCCTTTATCTATGTCAGAGCCAAAGTCTCCTTTGAAAACAAAGCTTTATATCCAAAAATATGCTTTTGCAAAAGTTTCTAATCAGTGTGTTAGGGGACAAAGGTTGTGAATAGGGGGTGGGAGAAAAGAGAAGAAAAGGACTTGGATTCTAATTTCTGACCATCTTGACATGTATTGTGGTCAAAAGTATCATTTTCTTATTCAGTTTTAATTGTGAGTGCTTTCTTAAGCCTTAAATTATAAAAGGAGCCGTGGATGGCCTGACCCGGCAGAGAGTTTAAGTGTCTCAAATGGCTCACTCTGAGCATCAGCACAGAGAAGTCAGAACAAAACCCCTACTAAGCTCACTGCCCAAAGGCTCAGTCCTGTGGGGCAGAGAACCGTGCCGACTGGGGACAGGCCACCCCTCTCACTAAAATGCAGTGTGTTCCATTGCAGCAAAGTGTTCACCAGTGTTCAAAATGCATGTCTAGCAGATTGCAGCCTTTTAAAATATGTATACATGAATGTACATAGAACATACTGTAGATTAAGACAGGATCTTATTTTAATACACCCAGCTATGGATAGCACATCAAGGTGCCCAAGAAGTGTTTTTAGCCATTTCAAGTTGAGTCTGTAGAGATTGGTTGAAGAGTGTTGATGTGCAGACATCAAGAAGGCTCCAAGGTATGTTGCTTACAAAGATTCTTCTCCTGAGAGACTTAAAAAGTCTTGAAGGCACCAAGCCCCCCTTTGTCAAGGGGAGTGTTTTCTCATCAGTTTGGTGGCGGTAGGGGCGCTCAGATGATGGCGACAGGTTAAAGCATTGGTAGTCTGCTCTCTGGGAATGTCCGCCTCTTACTAAGAAATGTATCTTTCTGATGTTTAAGCGAGAACTGCCGATGTGTAGGTCATGTCACTATTTCTTTAACAGCAAATTTGTTTCCCAGTGGAGAGAGACAGCAGTATATTTTTGTACAGGAAGCTGTGGTGTTAGGATCCATCTGTTCACGTGTGTCTGTAAATACTTTTGTTCCAATGTGAAGCCTGGGGAAACGTTCACCTTCAGCCAGATGCTGTGCACACTTGAGTCCCCTGCCACCTTTCCTCAAAAGAGAGATACTTTTAGAAAATGGAGGTTGTGGGTATGTTTTCAACCTTTGAAAACATGTCAGAGGGAAAAGACAAAACTATGTGAACTTAATGATTTTCTTGTGTGCGGAGATCTGTTCTTTCATCAAACCACTAAGCCACTTGCCTTAGCCTCTTCTGCGATTTCCCATGGCTTAACCTGTGGGCAGAAGACTTCTGCCTGTTAGCAATGGCTGGGCCCTCTGAAGCAGTGGAGTCTGGGGAAAGCAGTGTTCATCTTGGCTGCCTACATTTTTATACACCTGCCAAGGACTCTTTGCGCTTCTCTCCACCTGTAATGTTGCAACATTGCCTTCTCTCCTCTTGGTGCTCCTGGGCAAAACTGGAATGTGAAATCCAGAGCTGACATTGTCTTCTTAAAGAGGATGGTTCCTGCCTCGGTCCAGCCTGGTATGACTCTCTCATATGCCCTGCAGGTTGTCACATGGAAATGTCAGTATCCTGCCACTCGTGTTGCTTCGATTTAGGGTTTTAAAAAAACAAATGGACAGACTTCTTATTTCAACAAGCAAACTCTTAGGTTGGCAACAGCATGCGAAAAAGCTCATAGCCGAATCCCATGAAAGACTGAAACCAAAGGCTTCGAGATTGGCATCGTAAAATGACAAGGAATTTCACTTATGTGTTAGAGCCGCCAAGTTGTCCGATGTTCCTGTCACAGCTAAATAGTCACTGCTCGCCTTCCAGAGAACAGATATTAATAATTGTTTGCAGCTGGAATGTTGCATCTAACCTCGGCATTTCAGCTGCTTGTTTTGTGGGAACTTTGTGGCTAATATCCCACAGGACAGCTGCCTGGTGGAAGGGAGAAAGTAGGAGAGGGGACTTCCTCAGGGGGACCTTGTCTGTTGAAATAGGCTGTCCAGACCGTGGGTCCTAGAGAAGTTGCTTCATGGAAGTCACCTGAAGGCTCTCAGTTGTTATAATGGTGAGATCCCAAAGTTGGGAAAGGGTCTTTAAGTCATCGGTCCAGTCTCCCCACAGGTGCTGACATCTGCCTACAACTGTCCCACCCAGGGTTTGAGCAGTCTGGGCTTAAACACCTCTGAGGACAGGGAACTCACTACCTCCTGGGAAGCCTGCTCTATCTCTATAAACCTCTGGCTTTTCTGTGTTCTCTGTCACTTCCATCTTAATCTCTGCCCAGTGGGGGCCATATGGAACGGGTTGTTCATCTTGGCCAAGGACCTAATTGCTGGCACTGTACCAGGGCAGAGCAGTTGTTTTTTGGAAAGGAGCAGCTAGCAGTTAGATACTTTGGTGCCCTGACTGTCCTTCCCCCTCAGCACAGGTCCTTTTAGTTCCCTGTTAATGGAGGTTGCAGAAACCTCGTCAGCCTGGTTCTCCTCCCATGTTCTTGCTGAAGCAGTTTTAGGGGGTGGGGAGGAGTTGCTGTCATCCTGATAAAAAATAATAACCTAAGAAGGGATGGGGCACTAATTTCATGCCTGCCCCACAAAAACTGATGCTCACATCACTTAGGAAAAATTTTAGCTAGAAGATTGTAAAATATTGCTCTGTGTGGAGTTTAAAGGTTCCGTGGCTTCTGAGGGCTTATACCTTAAGATTTCTGCAGGTACTTCCCACATTGTTTTTATCGAGAAAACAAAGCTTAGGACCTTGGAGGAGAGGCATACCACAGGCCTCTGTGTCTGAGTAGACATATATGTTCAAGCTAGAAAGTCCTGTGAGGTTGCTCTTGCCCCATCATTCATTTTAAAGACAGGAGACTAAAATTCAGAACTTGTCTGAGTCACGTGGCACTGTCTGGATTAACCTCTGGTCCTCCTGACCTATCCAGAGCTCTTCTCACTCTCTGACAGGCACATGTATGGAATCCTGTCTAAAGCAAGCTGCCTGCAGATTCTTGAGACCTTGCCACTGAGCACAGAGGTTCCTGAGGCCATCCTGGCTCCCAGGGGCTGTGAACCCACCTGCTGAACTCCAGGCTGTGTGAAATGATTAGGAAGAGAGTCCACTGAGTTTCACCAAATGAACATGAGGGGAGAACAGAACTAGTTTATGATTTAAGACCAGGGTTCTAAAGTCCTGGCAGGAATCCTAGTGTCCTAGAATCTCAATTCTCACAAGATGGGCTTGCTCTGAGATCTGTTGGTCAGACTTCTGCCTTTCAGGTGGTGGTTTGGGGTTGTGTCACTCAGCTGGCCCCCATGCAGACAGACACAGCTCTGAGGCCCTGTGATTCATGGCCTCCCAGTCCCTGTTACTGGGCTAAAAGGACAAGTAAGCCCAAGGCCATGGCCTGGGAAGCATGGTGCTTTGGGTGCCTTTTTATTCCCTTCACTTTTTACAGACTGGTTCCAAGTTCAAGGTTAGGAAGGGTAAAGTTGATCCAGCGTTTTGTGGTGGTGTCTAGTCTGGGGCAAGGTGGGACCTCTTCTTAAGGTAGAAATGTCTACAATCAGTTATTTCATCTGGCTTGCATCCTAAACCACGGACCCTTCGGTTTTTCTCACTCAATGAACACATGTTCGCCAGTAACGGAAGGTTGTACGGGACCCCGGTTTCACATGTCTGCTATCCGTTATGCCCATCAGAATGTTTTTGGGGTGTGGGTTTGTTTTCCATTTTGTAACTGCCTTATCAAAAAGCAAGTGCCCTTCCATTCCAGGCCTCCTCATACTGTATTGTTTCCTGCCAAATTCGGGGGATCATTTGTATTTTAATTTTGTAATCTATGGCTCTGTACTGTTGAAAGGCTCTCAATCCTGTGGGGTCTCCTTAGTATGTATGTGATTTTTCATGTTGCAATATCACACAGATGGGATGGCCCGACTTTCGCTCTTAATAAACGATCTGAATGAGTAACGAGATACATATTCTCTTTTTCTCCTTGAACGGCCACATGGAATTCAGATGCTTTCTCTTCTGTATTTCGCCCCTGGCTGTGTAGTACAGCCATTGGTGACAGCGGTCTTTCCTCCGGGCTCTCAGGACTAGCTCCCACATTCCCCCTTCCAATCCTAGGGCACATCAAGTAAGTTCAAATCACAGAAGTTGACTCCCGCCCTCCCACTCACTCCTACTGAAGGAGACGATGAATCTGATGGCCAGAGGCTGGAGCCTGAATGCCACATAGCATCCTAGATACCCTGAGCAAAAAGCTTTCCTCTGGCTCTGCAATTATCCATCTATAAAGTGAGAAGCCTCCGCTGGCTGGAGGACTGCAAGCCACAATCCCTGCAGGGGGCCACTGGAGAACTAGGGTCCCTCCTGAGGGCAGCCACTACTCAGCCCCAGCCTATTGTTGCCTTGTGGAGATGCCAGCCCTGAGTGGCCACTTCTCGAAATTTCACAAGAGGAGCTGGTAGTCTAGACCTTTATACAAATATCCCAGTGTTCAAATGGCTCAAAAACATCCTTCACAGACTGTGGACTGGTGTTTCTTCACCTACAGTAGAGGCTTGCTATTTAGAGTCTGTTCATCATCTGAATGCTTGTTAGAAATGCAGACTCCTTGCCCCCCTTGCCTGCCAGCTGCCTACTGAATCAGGTCTGTGTTTTAGCAAAGTCCGCAGGCCAGTCACATGCTCACGATGGGACTACCTGACTGCGTTTTACTGGTGGAGGTCCCTGAGGCTGCCGGATGAAGCCCCTTGCCCAGCCACGCCTCAGACTGGGGTCTTTCATCTCACATGTGTCATTAGTGACCCTTCAGCACAGTTCTGTCCTCAGCAGAGTGGAAGGGAAGAAATGCAATAAATGTCTTCATCTTATTAGTTATCTAGAAGGAATTGATGCTAGCTCTAAAATTTTAAGTGGCATTGAAATTGCCAGTGCAGTTCCTCTCCTCGCCACTCCACCATAGTCCACTTCCTCCTGTGGAGGGTGACTTCTCAGGAGGTATTTTTGGAGGCAAAGAGGATGGGGAGTCTTGGGTATCCCTCAGAGTCCACAGGGTTCGTGATGGATTGCTGCTGAAGGATGCAGTCATTTAGGTGACCCCTGAGGTGATTTCCTTCAGGAAGCGAAGTTGTAATTTTCATACCATGTTGTCTCTCCGTGTGAGTGTACCATAGTTCCCTCCATCCCTCCACCTGCTGCCCTCCATTTCTTCCACAGAGAAGGGGCTGCCCGCTGTCCTCTAACCCCCCATACACAGAACCTCAAAGAGGTGCTTTGTCCCCAGGCTTCCCCCACACTGGCTGACCTCTGCTAGAGCCGGTCTCCTGTGAGTATCCAGAGACGTGAGTTATGATGGGAGGATGAACCCACATCTTTACAGAAGTTTCACCAGTAACCTGACACCCCTTTTACTTTTTTTTTTTTTAAGAATTATTTATTCATGAGAGACAGAGGCAGAGACATAGGCAGAGGGAGAAGCCAGCTCCTTACAGGGAGCCTGATGTGGGACTCAGTCCCAGGATCCCAGGATCATGCCCTAAGCCGAAGGCAGACACTCAATCGCTGAGCCACCCAGGTGCGTGACACCGCTTTCTCAAAACAGACCTTTAGAATAATACCAAATCATCCGAAGTACAGCGTTTTTGACAGTGTGGCACTCGCCACCTCCCACCCGCATCAGAATCCCCTAAGAATGCTGTGTACGATGCCATTCCTGGGCCTCCATCCCAGATTCTCAGAACAAAAAGCTCAGGGGCCTAATTCTAAGAATGTGAATTTTTAAAATTTCCCCAAGTAAGACTTAAGCTCAATAAAGTTAAGAAGAATCTGGTCCAGAGGTTTCCCAGTCCAGCAGCTTTAGCCTCATCGGGACTACTTGCTCAGAGTTCCCAGTGAGACCTAGTTAATGAGAATCTCCTCAATCTTCCTGGGGTCCAGGAAACTGTTTTTACAAAATCTCCCAGAGCATTTGTATGCACATCCAAGTTTTTAGGAACCACTGAATTCAACGCTTCAAGGCCCAGGGACAGAAAGTAGCTGTGTTCCACCTGGAACAGCTCAGAAGTGTCAGAGCCTGAGCAAATATGGTGACATGCACAGCCACAGAGGCTCTTTTAAGAGGAATCATTGCCATGGATAGTCTTCAGTCTGGATAAAACCAGAATGAAAATGGCCCACAGCTCTAGCACTCTGCCCAGCATGTAGGACAACACTATAAATGTCTGCAGTTGAATCTTCCATGAACTTAACAGTCTTTTAGTTTATAAGGACCTTTCCTGTCTAGAAACAATAATATTAGCTGCCAAGTGCAGCGTGCACACCAGACAACAAGCTACTAGTTTTACATGCATTGATTCATTTAATCTCATTACAATTATATAAAATAGGGACTGTTAACTCCAGTTTATAGAGGTATAAATGCAGGCGTAGAGAGGAGGAACTTTCCTGAGTAAAAAAGCTAGAGACACTCTTTGGATTGGGTCCAAGGGTCATCTGGTCCTTAGGGACATGTCAACCTCACTGTCAGAGAACTCAGGCATGCCACACTTTGAAGCAGGAGAGCCACAGTCAGCCTTGACCCAAAGTGGATTTACTAAGTGGATTTACTAAACTTTAATGAGGGATTCCTAGAAGTCACTAAGACTCTAGTTAGGAAATTTAATAGGGTTTAATGGAGGTTAACAAGGTACATCCAACTTTCCAGCCAGGTTTTAACTTACCAGAGCTGAGCGGAGATTAACAGGCCCAGGAGGTGTAAAGGCACCTGTGTGATTTAATGGGGTTAATGAAACTGTCAGAGGTTGGCCAAGAGGGACAGAGCCAGAACACACCACTGCTAACAACTCAATCTGGTTGTGGTCAAGAGACATTAAACAGCTGAAGCCTGCTCTGTCCTGCTCTGGGCACCACGGAGGTAGCAAGTAAAAGAAGGCCACAACCAACAGGCCAGCTGTGGTTACTCCTGGTTGGTGGGACTTGGGGTTTTGTTTCTCCTTTGTGCCTTTTTGGTATCTAAATCGTTTATAATGGGTGTGAACATTTTCACCAAATCTATAAGATTGCAAAGCAATGTTTTAAGTGCCCTCAAAGCCCTTCTCCACATACATAATTTTTAGGTTACATATTCCTCAAACCTGTAGAAAATAGGTAAAAACAACAAGAATACTACAATCTTAAATTGGGTAACACTTCACTTGTAAAGGGCTCTCACCCATCGTCTCTGTGGGTTTTGTCACACACTACAAAATAGCCATATACAAGGTCACACTGGGCAGTGGAAGAGCCAAAGCAAATCCTCTCTTCTGCCTCCCAGATTGGCACAGTGTCTTCACTGAGCTCTTAACTCTGTGACAGGCCCAACATTTAAGCACTTTACATGCTTTATGACCATAGGAGCTGATAACTATTTTATAGACAGGTTTAGAAAGGTGAAACGGTCGGACACCTGGGTGGCTCAGTGGCTGAGCGTCTGCCTCTGGCTCAGGTGGGATTGAATCCCACATCAGGCTCCCCGCAGGGAGCCTGCTTCTCCCTTTGCCTATGTCTCTGCCTCTCACTCTGATCACTCATGAAAAAAATAATCTTAAAAAAAGAAAAAGAAAATGGCTTGTCCAAGGCCATCAATAAGTGGGGGGGACGAGAATCAGACACAGGGCTATCTGACCCCGAAGCCCAATGTGCCCTGCTGCTCACTCACCCCATAAGCTACTATCTCATGGGAGCATTGTTCCCAACAGTGAAGAAGTGGAAACAATCTATGTGTCAAATAAAAGGAACAGTTGTCGGGCGTTAGCTGCGGCTGCGAACCGCGACGCTCGCGTCTTTTCACTGTTGCTATCATAAAATAAAATTTAAAAAAATAAAAAATTCTTAAAAAAAAAAGGGAACCAGTTTTAAAAGTATTATAAATATGTCTACATGTAAAATAATATAACATAAAAGGACATTCATAGCAGTTTAGAAATGCTAGAAAACTATACTACAGAGGTATATATGTATACATGTTATATGAGCATGAATATATATGTGGATGTGTGGACTTGCATATTGTGTATCTACATACTATATGTGTATATGAACAAGTATGTGCAAATATATACACACACACATCTTTATCTGCAACTAAGGCCATATCTGTAGGCATATCAAAACATCTATTTACCAGCTCCATGTATAGACATACTGTATCCGTATCTATATGAATCAGAGTAAGAGGGAAAGAGGAAGGAAAAAGCTTTCTGAAAAACCAAGGGAGGGGATCCCTGGGTGGCGCAGCGGTTTGGCGCCTGCCTTTGGCCCAGGGCGCGATCCTGGAGACCCGGGATCGAATCCCACGTCAGGCTCCCGGTGCATGGAGCCTGCTTCTCCCTCTGCCTGTGTCTCTGTCTCTCTCTGTCTCTCTCTCTCTCTCTGTCTCTCTCTCTCTCTCTCTCTCTCTCTCTCTCTGACTATCATAAATCAATAAAAATTAAAAAAAAAAAAAAAGAAAAACCAAGGGAGCTTCCTGGAAGAAGAGGATCCTAAACAGACCCTTAAAAACAAACAAACAAACAAAAAAAAAAAACGGAAGGTTTCACAGGAGCCAAGGATGAGGGGAAGTCCAGTCAGGAGCAATAAGCCTTAGATGCCAGAGTGAGGAGCATGGACTTTGGAGTCACTAAAACTGCTATTAATAAAAAACAAAACGAAACAACACCAGGGCACCAGGGTGGCTCAACTGGTTAAGCATCTACCTTCGGCTCAGCTCATGATTCCAGGGGCGTGGGATCAAGCCCCATATCAGGCTCCCTACTCAGCAGAGAACCTGCTTCTCCCTCTCCTCTGCTGCCCCCCCCACACACACACACCACTCGTGCTTTCTCACTGAGAAAATAAATAAATATAAAATAATAAAAATTAAAAACCACACCAAGCAATGGAATATGGCCAAAAAAAGTTTGAGTGTGCTGTGTGCCAGGTGTCTGAAGGA